CCTGAGCTGGTCTTGTGGCTCTTGTACGTGTAGCTGGCCTGAGCTGGTCTTGTGGCTCTTGTACGTGTAGCTGGCCTGAGCTGGTCTTGTGGCTCTTGTACGTGTAGCTGGCCTGAGCTGGCCTTGTGGCTATTGTATGTGTAGCTGGTCTTGTGGCTCTTGTATGTGTAGCTGGCCTGAGCTGGTCTTGTGGCTCTTGTACGTGTAGCTGGCCTGAGCTGGTCTTGTGGCTCTTGTACGTGTAGCTGTCCTGAGCTGGTCTTGTGGCTCTTGTACGTGTAGCTGGCCTGAGCTGGTCTTGTGGCTCTTGTACGTGTAGCTGGCCTGAGCTGGTCTTGTGGCTCTTGTACATGTAGCTGGCCTGAGCTGGTCTTGTGGCTCTTGTACGTGTAGCTGGCCCTGAGCTGGTCTTGTGGCTCTTGTACGTGTAGCTGGCCTGAGCTGGCCTTGTGGCTCTTGTACGTGTAGCTGGCCTGAGTTGGCCTTGTGGCTCTTGTACGTGTAGCTGGCCTGAGCTGGCCTTGTGGCTATTGTATGTGTAGCTGGTCTTGTGGCTCTTGTATGTGTAGCTGGCCTGAGCTGGTCTTGTGGCTCTTGTACGTGTAGCTGGTCCTGAGCTGGCCTTGTGGCTCTTGTACGTGTAGCTGGCCTGAGCTAGTCTTGTGGCTCTTGTATGTGTAGCTGGCCTGAGCTGGTCTTGTGGCTCTTGTACGTGTAGCTGGTCCTGAGCTGGCCTTGTGGCTCTTGTACATGTAGCTGGTCCTGAGCTGGTCTTGTGGCTCTTGTACGTGTAGCTGGCCTGAGCTGGCCTTGTGGCTCTTGTATGTGTAGCTGGCCTGAGCTGGTCTTGTGGCTCTTGTATGTGTAGCTGGCCTGAGCTGGTCTTGTGGCTCTTGCATGTGTAGCTGGCCTGAGCTGGTCTTGTGGCTCTTGTATGTGTAGCTGGCCTGAGCTGGTCTTGTGGCTCTTGTATGTGTAGCTGGCCTTGTGGCTCTTGTACGTGTAGCTGGCCTGAGCTGGTCTTGTGGCTCTTGTATGTGTAGCTGGCCTGAGCTGGCCTTGTGGCTCTTGTATGTGTAGCTGGCCTTGTGGCTCTTGTACGTGTAGCTGGCCTGAGCTGGTCTTGTGGCTCTTGTACGTGTAGCTGGCCTGAGCTGGTCTTGTGGCTCTTGTACGTGTAGCTGGCCTGAGCTGGTCTTGTGGCTCTTGTACGTGTAGCTGGCCTGAGCTGGTCTTGTGGCTCTTGTACGTGTAGCTGGCCTGAGCTGGCCTTGTGGCTCTTGTATGTGTAGCTGGCCTTGTGGCTCTGCAGTCCTTTCTCATTGTGGCCACACTTGGACCAGCCCCTCCGGGAAGAGAGCTCAAGGTCAGCGTAGCAGGGCAGGGCATGGTCATTCCAAGGCCAGACACCCTGGCTATCAGCCGGTCCCATTCTTAGGACTTATGTGGACTTAACCCTGGGTGCCTCCCTCTGTGGCTCCAGGCCGGGTCTGGACCCTGGTGCTGCGGCCACCCCTTCTTTGCAGGGAAGAGGGTTCCTAGACTCCATGGGCCTTCTCTCTGGGGCCTCCACGTCCTCTCCCCTAGTTAGGCATTCAGACAGAGCTACCGGGGCTTTGTGGGCTGTGTGGAAGCCGCTGGGTCCAGTGCATCTCTGTGTGGGCCTGGGGTCTCGGTCCTGAGCACTGCAGGGCTCCAGGAAGGAGAGGGAGTCTCCCGGCCTGTGTCCTGGTCTTCGCCCCCTGCGCTCACGGGTGCTGCACGTGCTGACTTTCGTCCTCCCTGAGTTGAGGGGTGGTGATGGCAGCCTTGCTCCGGGTACTGTCCTGGAGCCTCTGCACCCCAGAGGCATGAGAACACACTCCAGCTTCCCTTCCCCACCCCACACCTCATCTGCACCTTACCGGAGCTGGGCTTGGGGGTGCAGGGGGTCTTCAGCAGGCCCCACCTCCTGCCCAACATTTTCTCCATTCCTTGCTTGTTTTCCTCTGAGGTGGGATGGAGGGCAGCAATCCGTCTCCTGCCTGGGCCTCACGTTTTGCCTCAGTCTCCTCTCTGGCTGAGTGGGTTGGACGTCTGTCCAGGTGTAACAATGGGGACTTGTATTTTCTGAGCTAAATATAGAGCAGCAGCAGCCACACTGTAGCTGATATTCCCAGAAGCCTTGGGGGCCTGAACTTCCTGCTGGGGCTCTGCCTTGGCCTTTCCCGGAGGCCTGGGGGCCAGGAGGCCAGACAGCCAGTGGGGTGCTGCAGACCCTGAGGGGAAGGGTGGCCGGCGCTGTTTGCTCTCAGATAAGGCCAGCTCCACCGTCTGGGCCGCCAGCCTGGGCCCCGCAATGTGTGGAGCAAGCCATCTGGCCCTCCTGCTGGGAAGTGACCGTGTACGGGGCTCCTGCCTCCCAGTGTGCCCAGGCTTCCCTTCCTCGGGGTTGGGACAGGGAGGAGGCTGGGGTACCGAGGCTGGGCTTGTCTGCTGGCAGCCTGCCATCTGGTGCTGGTACTGGGCTAGCGTGGCCCTTACGCAGCCTCCAGTTACGTCCCTCTGAGGCTCTGTTTGGGCAGCTGCGTGTGCAATACGTGTGCGTACCTATACCTATATGTGCTAGCATGTGTGGAGAGGTCTGCCCAGGGCGTCCAGGCACCAGGCTGGCCACAGGGGCCACTCCCGAGGTGTCCTGTGGCCCGGGAGGCCTTGAGTGGTGGAATTTCAGACAGTGACAGGTGGTGGGCAGGGTTTGCCTGGGAATACTACAGCGGGACCCTGGGGGATGGCAAGGGTGTCGGGAGCCTCTGCTCCGCGCCTGGGGCTGGAGGGGGCTGGACAACTGCGCCGGGCCTGGCCAGCTGCCTGGGTGGTCCACCGAGGGAGCACATCTCAGGGAACCGGTGGGTGGGAAGCTCCCTGCTCACCTCTCTCCCTCCCTTACTGGGGAAGCAGGTGGGCAGGGGCTGCTGGCACTGGCCTGTGGCTTGGGGAGGGGTTTTGAATAGAGTGGGAGACGTGTGTCTCTGGAGTCCACTAGGCTGCCCTTGGCTGGTGGCCCCCGGCCCCTGACATGGGCTGGGCTCGGAGAGACGTGATTTGTGCCTTGGGAGGTGAGAACAGCCCTGAGACCCGAGGATGTCTAGGCCGGGCCGCAGGGCAGCAGCATGGCCAGCGTAATTGCCCACCGAGGAAGTGCCGCAGGCATTGCCAGGCGGTGGCTCTGATGGAGCCCCTCAGGTCTGCCATACCTGGGGTCTTCCCGCTGAACGGCAGGCTACCTCTGCGGGCAGCCAGGGGCCAGGGTGACCGCCACAGTCCATCCCAGCCCCTCTGCCCAGGCCCGGCTGGGGCCAGATGGGTGTTGATGGGGGTGGAGTGGTTCCCAGCCCGTGCAGGGCCTGGTGCAGCATGGCTTGCCCCTTCAGGCCCCTAGTGAGCAGGTGAGGACCAGCCAGGAGACCCGCCCACACCCCTGCCCCAGCCTCATCTAGAGCCACGCCCACAGCCTGCCCCAGCCTCATCTGGAGACACGCCCACACCCCTGCCCCGCCTCATCTGGAGACACGCCCACACCCCAGCCCCAGCCTCATCTGGAGCCTTGCCCAAACCCCCAGCCCCAGCCTCATCTGGAGCCACGCCCATACCCCTGCCCCAGCCTCATCTGGAGCCCCGCCCATACCCCTGCCCCAGCCTCATCTGGAGCCCCGCCCACACCCCTGCCCCAGCCTCATCTGGAGCCCCGCCCACACCCCTGCCCCAGCCTCATCTGGAGCCCCGCCCATACCCCCAGCCTCATCTGGAGCCACGCCCACAGCCTGCCCTAGCCTCATCTGGAGCCCCGCCCATACCCCTGCCCAGCCTCATCTGGAGCCCCGCCCACACTCCCAGCCCCAGCCTCATCTGGAGCCACGCCCACACCCCAGCCCCATCTGGAGCCACGCCCACACCCCTGCCCCAGCCTCATCTGGAGCCCCGCCCATACCCCTGCCCCAGCCTCATCTGGAGCCCCGCCCATACCCCCAGCCTCATCTGGAGCCACGCCCACAGCCTGCCCTAGCCTCATCTGGAGCCCCGCCCATACCCCTGCCCAGCCTCATCTGGAGCCCCGCCCATACCCCCAGCCTCATCTGGAGCCACGCCCACAGCCTGCCCTAGCCTCATCTGGAGCCCCGCCCATACCCCTGCCCAGCCTCATCTGGAGCCCCGCCCATACCCCCAGCCTCATCTGGAGCCACGCCCACAGCCTGCCCTAGCCTCATCTGGAGCCCCGCCCATACCCCTGCCCAGCCTCATCTGGAGCCCCGCCCACACTCCCAGCCCCATCTGGAGCCACGCCCACACCCCAGCCCCATCTGGAGCCACGCCCACACCCCTGCCCCAGCCTCATCTGAAGCCCCGCCCACACCCCCAGCCCCAGCCTCATCTGGAGCCACGCCCATACCCCCAGCCTTATCTGGAACCACGCCCACACCCCCTGCCCCAGCCTCATCTGGAGCCCCGCCCACACCCCCTGCCCCAGCCTCATCTGGAGCCACACCCACACCCCCAGCCCCAGCCTCATCTGGAGCCACGCCCATACCCCAGCCCAGCCTCATCTGGAGCCACACCCACACCCCTGCCCAGCCACACCCCTGCCCAGCCTCATCTGGAGCCCCGCCCACACCCCTGCCCAGCCTCATCTGGAGCCCCGCCCACACCCCTGCCCAGCCACACCCCTGCCCCAGCCTCATCTGGAGCCATGCCCACACCCCTGCCCCAGCCTCATCTGCTCTCAGGAGACGGCCTTGTTTTTCTTGATTCACACTTCCCCAAGGACTGTCCAGCCAGACTGTGTCCTGAGCCCTCTGGGCAAGTCCTCACAGTCCTCAGCAAGGTGGCCGCTAATGCTGCGGGCCGCCCACCCTGGGAATCCCCTGCGGGGTGGGCTCTGCGGTCGACCCGGCCTCCCTGGGTCATTTTCCTGGTGAGGCCCCAGGCCTTCCCCCACCTGACTGAACCTCGTATATCTGCAGGCCCCCCAAGAATGGCAGACAAGGTGGCCCCGCGGCAGGTGGCCCGGCTGGGCCGCACTGTGCGGCTTCAGTGTCCGGTGGAGGGAGACCCGCCACCGCTGACCATGTGGACCAAGGATGGCCGCACCATCCACAGTGGCTGGAGCCGCTTCCGCGTGCTGCCCCAGGGGCTGAAGGTGAAGGAGGTGGAGGCTGAGGACGCGGGCGTGTACGTGTGCAAGGCCACCAATGGCTTTGGCAGCCTCAGCGTCAACTACACCCTCATCGTGATGGGTCAGTCGGTTCACAGCCAGGGTCCTGGCGGGGTCAGGGTTGGGCTTGAGTGGAGTGGGAGGTGTGGGGGTGGATGGAGGGGCAGTACGTGCACCTGGGGACTCTACCTGGGGACAAGTGTCAGCGCAGCCCAGGACCGCGCGCCTCCGTGCACGGCTCAGCTTGGCCTGCTGCCCCCTTCAGCCTGCGGCAGGGGCTCCGGCGCTCTGCCTCGCCCCTTCCCTCCAGACGAGGCCCCAGGCAGCCAGGCCTCTGCCCACAGGCCCCGGCTTGGCTCTCCTTCCCCTGGGCAGCAGGGAGGCTCTAGGTGGTGGTCCCACCGAAGGGCAGAGCTGGCAGCGCAGCCTTGGCGTCGGCCCTGACTTTGAGGCTCAGGTTTCAAAGTTCAGAGGAGCTGCTGGGAAGCGAACGGCCTTTCTGTTCTCATCTACGCAGGAGGCCCGGGCACTGGGCACAGACAGGTGTTGTGGTGACGCAGCCTCCCCGCGCCGTACCAGCGCGGCCCACCCTCCTCACTGGACCCCTGGTGTGGGGCTGTTCCACAGGAGAGGTCGGCGTGGCCCTTGGTCCCCGGCCCAGCCTAGTGCAGGGGACATTCCTCAGCGTGCCCCGCCCCCCTCCCCCTGCACCATCCAAATACAGACCCCTCTGGGTTGTGGAATGGGAACACTGCAGCTCCCCGCCCCGTGTCCTTTCAAAGGGGACGAGGACTGGGTGGTATGCAAGTCATGTCTGCACCAGGCCCTCGGCCCCTTGATGTGGGCTAGGGTTACCGCAGCTGCCGGCCGGCCTGGCCCCCTCCCCTCCGGGGTCCTTCAGACCCAGAGCCGGGGCGGTGAGGCAGCCCTCAGTCCACCCGAGCCTGTCAGGGTCACCTGCACGGGGGAGGGCTGGCAGGAGGCCTGGTCCAGCTGGCCTGCGGTGGGGCTGGGCCCTCTGTGCTATGGCTGCTCCAACTGGGGACACACTGGGGTCTGGCAAGGCCTCCCAGTGCCCTCACCCACTGCCTTTGCTCTCTGCAGATGATGTCAGTTCAGGGAAGGAGAATCTGGGGTCCGGGAGCACCTCGGGAGGTCAGGAGGACCCAGCCAGCCAGCAATGGGGTGAGCATGGGCAAGGGAGCCCTGTCTGTCCGGGATGGGGTGGTGGGGTGAGGGGAGCGGTCCTGTCTGTCCAGGACGGGGTGGTGGGGTAAGGGGAGGGGTCCTGTCTGTCCAGGACGGGGTGGTGGGGTAAGGGGAGGGGTCCTGTCTGTCCAGGACGGGGTGATGGGGTAAGGGGAGGGGTCCTGTCTGTCCAGGACGGGGTGGTGGGGTAAGGGGAGGGGTCCTGTCTGTCCAGGACGGGGTGATGGGGTAAGGGGAGGGGTCCTGTCTGTCCAGGACGGGGTGGTGGGGTAAGGGGAGGGGTCCTGTCTATCCGGGATGGGGTGGTGGGGTGAGGGGAGGTGAGAGGTCCTGTCTGTCTGGGATGGGGTGGTGGGGTAAGGGGAGCGGTCCTGTCTGTCCGGGATGGGGTGGTGGGGTGAGGGGAGGGGAGGGGCCCTGTCTGTCTGGGATGGGGTGGTGAGGGGAGGGGAAGGGAGGGGCCCTGTCTGTCTGGGATGGGGTGGTGGGGGGAGGGGAGGGGAGGGGTCCTGTCTGTCCAGGACGGGGTGGTGGGGTGAGGGGAGGGGAGGGGTCCTGTCTGTCTGGGATGGGGTGGTGAGGGGAGGGGAGGGGAGGGGTCCTGTCTGTCTGGGATGGGGTGGTGGGGGGAGGGGAGGGGAGGGGCCCTGTCTGTCTGGGATGGGGTGGTGGGGGAGGGGAGGGGAGGGGTCCTGTCTGTCCGGGACAGGTAGTAGCCATCCCCCTGGCCCTCCCCTGACCCTTCCTCACTGACCTCGGCACTGCCTTGCTCCACAGCACGGCCCCGCTTCACGCAGCCCTCCAAGATGAGGCGCCGGGTGATCGCCCGGCCTGTGGGCAGCTCCGTGCGGCTCAAGTGTGTGGCCAGCGGGCACCCTCGCCCTGACATCATGTGGATGAAGGATGACCAGGCCTTGACACGCCCGGAGGCCAGCGAGCACAGGAAGAGGAAATGGACGCTGAGCCTGAAGAACCTGCGGCCAGAGGACAGCGGCAAGTACACGTGCCGCGTGTCCAACAGGGTGGGCGCCATCAACGCCACCTACAAGGTGGACGTGATCCGTGAGTAGCCGGGGCCGGGCTGGGGCCAGGATGTGGGGCCCGTGGGGCCGGGGCCGGGGCCGGGAGGTGGGGCCCGTGGGGCCGGGGCTGGGGCCAGGGCCGGGGCCGGGGCCGGGAGGTGGGGCCCGGTGGGGCCGGGGCCGGGAGGTGGGGCCCAGTGGGGCCAGGGCCGGGGCCGGGGCCGGGAGGTGGGGCCCGGTGGGGCCGGGGCCGGGGCCGGGATGTGGGGCCCGTGGGGCCCGTGGGGCCAGGGCCGGGGCCGGGGCCGGGAGGTGGGGCCTGGTGGGGCCGGGGCCGGGGCCGGGAGGTGGGCCCCAGTGGGGCCGGGGCTGGGGCCGGGGCCGGGGCCGGGGCCGGGAGGTGGGCCCCGGTGGGGCCGGGGCTGGGGCCGGGGCCGGGGCCGGGAGGTTGGGCCCGGTGGGGCCGGGGCCGGGGCCGGGAGGTGGGGCCCGGTGGGGCCAGGGCTGGGGCCCGGGCCTGGACCGGGGCCGGGAGGTGGGGCCCGTGGGGCCCGGTGGGGCCGGGGCTGGGGCCAGGGCCGGGCCGGGGCCGGGGCCGGGGCCGGGGCCGGGAGGTGGGGCCCGTTGGGCCGGAAGCTGTCTAACCTGCTGTCCCTGCCCTAGAGCGAACCCGCTCGAAGCCCGTGCTCACGGGCTCACACCCCGTGAACACCACGGTGGACTTTGGAGGGACTGCGTCCTTCCAGTGCAAGGTGCGCAGTGACGTGAAGCCCGTGGTCCAGTGGCTGAAGCGGGTGGAGTACGGCGCCGAGGGCCGCCACAATGCCACCATCGACGTGGGCGGCCAGAGGTTCGTGGTGCTGCCCACGGGCGATGTGTGGTCTCGGCCGGATGGCTCCTACCTCAACAAGCTGCTCATCTCGCGCGCGCGCCAGGACGACGCGGGCATGTACATCTGCCTCGGCGCCAACACCATGGGCTACAGCTTCCGCAGCGCCTTCCTCACCGTGCTGCCAGGTGTGCGGCCCGGGGGGGGTGGCGGCCGTGGGCCCAGGGCGCTCCCTGCGAGAGCCAGTCCTGTCTGTCTGCAGCACCTCCTCACACTCCCCGTCCTCTCCCACAGACCCCAAGCCGCCAGGGCCACCGGTGGCCCCTTCGTCCTCGGCCACAAGCCTGCCCTGGCCCGTGGTCATTGGCATCCCAGCTGGAGCGGTCTTCATCTTGGGGACTGTGTTGCTCTGGCTTTGCCAAGCCAAGAAGAAGCCATGTGCGCCGGCACCTGCACCCCCAGTGCCGGGGCCCCGCCTCTCGGGGACGGCCCGGGACCGCGCGGGTGACAAGGACTTGCCCGCACTGGCCGTGGGCCTGTGTGAGGAACACGGAACCCCTGCCGCCCCCCAGCACCTGCTGGGCTCAGGCCCGGTCGCGGGTCCCAAGCTGTACCCCAAGCTGTACACAGATGTGCACACACACACACACATGCACTCACACACCCACTCCCACGTGGAGGGCAAGGTCCACCAGCACCAGCACGTCCACTATCAGTGCTAGACAGCCGCCGTCTCCCCGGACGCTGTGTACCTCGAGGGCTGTGTGGATCCCGGGTGAGAGACAGGCATCGGGAAGGGAGGGAAGCACACATAGTTGCCCGCATGGATGGACATACTGCCAAGCGTGCACACACACACACACACACACACACACACACGCACACACTGAGAGCCGTTGGGAAGATTTGACTCGTGACTGCAGTGACATGTAGCGATGTGCTAGTTGAAGGAACCTTCCGGTCCCGTGAGGAGGAAGTCAGGGTGGTCGCCCAGCTGCCTTGTGACCGTGCCAGCCCTTTACCAGCACCCTCGGGTGCAGTCAGGAAGCTAGCCCCGGGAGGCTGAGCCACCAGAAGGGACCCTCCCGTCCTCCTGCTGCGGAGAGAAGGGCCTCGCTATTTATATTTAAGAAATGAAGATAATATTAATGATGGAAGGAAGGCTGGGACGCAAGGACTCTAGCCCGTCCTGGGGTGCGGGACCTGCCGCGGGGCCAGGTACCCAGCACCCATGCCCATAGCAGCCCCAGCCTCTGTAATTTTATAGAGTTTGAGCGGAAGCCTCGTATATTTAATTTATTTTGTTAAACAGAAAGTGCATCCTTTTCCTCATTATGATGTTTCTACCTGGGTTTGGCCTGTGAACAGTTGGTTCACCTGTGTGCTGATGTGTGCTTGCCTGTGTGGACATGTGTGTATGTGGACCTGTGTGTGTGGACATGCGTGTGCTCACTTGTGGATGTGTGTGCCTGCCTGACTGTGTGCACGTGTGTGCTGGTATGTGCCTGCCTGTGTGTGCTGATGTGTGATGTGTGTGCCTGCGCCTGCCTGTGTGTGCGTGGACATGTGTGTGCTCACCTGCGTGCACGTGTGTGCTGGTGTGTGCCTGCCTGTGTGAGTGTGGACATGTGTGTGCTCACTTGTGGATATGTGTGCCTGCCTGACTGTGTGCACGTGTGTGCTGGTATGTGCCTGCCTGTGTGTGCTGATGTGTGTGATGTGTGTGCCTGCCTGTGTGTGCGTGGATGTGTGTGTGCTCACCTGTGTGCACGTGTGTGCTGGTGAGTGATATGTGTGCCTGCCTGTGTGTGCATGGACATGTGTGTGCTCACCTGCGTGCACGTGTGTGCTGGTGAGTGATGTGTGTGCCTGCCTGTGTGTGCGTGCACGTGTGTGTGCTCACCTGCATGCACGTGTGTGTGCTGGTGTGTGCCTGCCTGTGTGTGCGTGCACGTGTGTGTGCTCACCTGCATGCACGTGTGTGCTGGTGTGTGCCTGCATGTGTGTGTGCATGTGTGTGTGCTCACATGCATGCACGTGTGTGTGTGCTGGTGTGTGATGTGTGTGCCTGCCTGTGTGTGCGTGGATGTGTGTGTGCTCACCTGTGTGCACATGTGTGCTGGTGTGTGATGTGTGTGCCTGCCTGTGTGTGCGTGGACGTGTGTGTGCCTGCCTGACTGCGTGCACGTGTGTGTTGGTGTGTGATGTGTGTGCCTTCCTGTGTGTGTGTGGACATGTTTGTGCTCACCTGCATGCATATGTGTGTGCTGGTGTGTGATGTGTTTACCTGCCTGTGTGTGTGCATGTGTGTGTGCTCACCTGCGTGCACGTGTGTGTGCTGGTGTGTGATGTGTGTGCCTGCCTGTGTGTGCGTGGATGTGTGTGTGCTCACCTGTGTGCACGTGTGTGCTGGTGTGTGATGTGTGTGCCTGCCTGTGTGTGCGTGGACGTGTGTGTGCCTGCCTGACTGTGTGCACATGTGTGTTGGTGTGTGATGTGTGTGCCTTCCTGTGTGTGTGTGGACATGTTTGCTCACCTGCGTGCATTGGTGTGTGCTGGTGTGTGATGTGTGTACCTGCCTGTGTGTGTGCATGTGTGTGTGCTCACCTGTGTGCACATGTGTATTGGTGTGTGATGTGTGTGCCTGCCTGTGTGTGAGTGGACGTGTGTGCTCACCTGTGTGCACATGTGTGTTGGTGTGTGATATGTGTGCCTGCCTGTGTGTGCATGTGTGTGTGCTCACCTGCGTGCACGTGTGTGCTGGTGTGTGATGTGTGTGCCTGCCTGCATGGACGTGTGTGTGCTCACCTGCGTGCACGTGTGTGTGCTGGGGTGTGGTGTGTGTGCCTGCCTGCATGGACATGTGTGTGTTCACCTGCGTGCACGTGTGTGTGCTGGTGTGTGATGTGTGTGCCTGCCTGCGTGGACGTGAGTGTGCTCACCTGCGTGCACGTGTGTGTGCTGGTGTGTGATGTGTGTGCCTGCCTGCATGGACGTGTGTGTGCACATGTGTGCTGATGCTTGGACCCACCCATGGGTTGTCTGCCAGCAGGCCTGTGCTGGCAGCTGGGGAGGCTCCAGCCTGGTGTTGACTGTGGCACCCAGCTGGCCGGAGCACTGCCCACACCTGTAGCCCTGCACACCTGGCGAGGTCCTGCGTAGGCCCCCATGCTCACGTGGCATCTGAGGTCCCCAGCTACACTTTGCAGAACCTTGGCAACAAGGCCTCTGTGAGCAAGGGAAGGCCAGACCCAAGTCACAGCCTCTTGTCCCCAGGGCTTCATCTGAGTGATCAGACACGCCATGGTGGTGCACCCATGGCCTTTCCCAGACATGCTGTAGTGCTGTGGCCGCGGTCCTTCCCAGCCATGCTGTGGTGGTGGGGCCATGATTCCAGATGCCATGGTGGTGCGGCCGTGATCCTCCCCAGACACGCCGTGGTAGTGTGGCCGTGATCCTTCCCAGACACGCCATGGTGGTATGGCCGTGATCCTCCCCAGACACGCCGTGGTGGTACAGCTGTGATCCCAGACACACCGTGATGGTGAGGCCGCGGTCCTTCCCAGCCATGCTGTGGTGGTATGGCCATGATTCCAGATGCCATGGTGGTGCGGCTGTGATCCTTCCCAGACACGCCGTGGTGGTGCAGCTATGATACTTCCCAGACACGCCATGGTGGTATGGCCGTGGTCCTTCCCAGACACGCCGTGGTAGTGTGGCTGTGATCCTCCCCAGACACGCCGTGGTGGTGTGGCTATGATACTTCCCAGACACGCTGTGGTGGTGCGGCTGTGATCCTCCCCAGACAGGCCATGGTAGTGTGGCCGTGATTCTCCCCAGACACGCCGTGGTAGTGTGGCCGTGATCCTTCCCAGACACGCCATGGTGGTGCAGCCGTGATCCTCCCCAGACACGCCGTGGTGGTGTGGCTGTGGTCCTTCCCAGACATGCCATGGTGGTATGGCTGTGATCCTTCCCAGGCACGCCGTGGTGGTATGGCCGTGATCCCAGGCACGCCGTGGTGGTGCGGCTGTGAGCCCAGGCACGCCGTGGTGGTGCGGCTGTGAGCCCAGGCACGCCGTGGTGGTGCGGCTGTGAGCCCAGGCACGCCGTGGTGGTGCGGCTGTGGTCCCAGGCACGCCGTGGTGGTGCGGCTGTGGTCCCAGGCACGCCGTGGTGGTATGGCTGTGATCCTTCCCAGGCACGCCGTGGTGGTATGGCCGTGATCCCAGGCATGCCGTGGTGGTGCGGCTGTGAGCCCAGGCACGCCGTGGTGGTGCGGCTATGAGCCCAGGCACGCCGTGGTGGTGCGGCTGTGAGCCCAGGCACGCCGTGGTGGTGTGGCTATGGTCCTTTCCAGCTGTGGTGGTGTGACCGTGTCCTTGCACACTCCCTCATGCAAGGCTGCCAGTGTGATGGCTTACCAACATGTTGGTATGTGCCATGCTCCCAGATAGTGTAACTCCAAGAACCTTCCCCGACAGCAGACCCCTGCCTGGCCCACAGATGAGAAGTGGCTGCTGTCATCAGAGGGACTTCCCAGATCCACCCCACCCTGGAGCAGCCCAGCCCCCTCCCCCCACACCCCACTCTCTGGAGCCGCACACAGCAGTCCTTGTGCTCCAGCCTCTGAGGTTGGACTCTGCTGGTGTCCTCAAGGACACAGGGTTGGCCTGGATGGGGAATGCACCGGACCAGCCCTGACTTCCGGGTGACGGGCCACCTCGAGCTGGCAGGTGCTGGAGAAGCTCCGCTGCAGTGACCAGGACACGGCCCACGCTTGTGATGGGCAGGTGGTGTCCAGAAAGAATGGCTTGGCCCACAGACCCCTGCTTGGGCTTCGGTGTGGAGTGGGGGCAGGTGGGAAGAGAGGAGACCTCGGGGCGCAGTGCAGACTTCAGGCAGCAGACACCCTGTGCCGCCGTGAGATGCAGGTGAGCAGGCCTCCGTCAGAGGATGGGCAGAGGGGAGGAGCTCCAAGAGCCCAGCCTGAGTCCAAGCCCTTCCTGGTCCAAGGGCCAGAGCACCTGTTAGGCAGCAGAGGGTGGCCTCCTGTGCCCCCCCCCCCAGGCTGGTGCTGCTCTATGAACAGGACAGAGCCTGGGGCCTGGCACCTGCTGAGACCAGACAGCCCCTCCAGGGGTCCTGGGGAGGGACGGTGAGCGGTGCCATGCTGACCACGCCTGGTCACTCTGTGTTGGGCAGGGGTCCTGACGGAGGATAGGACAGTTTGGCCTCTCCAAGGCCCACGGCTTCCACCACAATGGCTCGGGCCTCAGAGCTCGGTCAGGGCTCCTTGGCCACTGCGGCAATGAGCCCTTGTTGCCAGTCCAGAGTCCCCTCTGTCCCTGTCCCTGTAAGTCAGCCATGGCAGAGTTCCATGGGGCACTGCCTCCTGTGTCCCTCCCACAGGTGTGCCCGCCCCTCCCCCTCCCTCCCACAGGTGTGCCCCACCCTCCCCCTCCCCCCCACAGGTGTGCCCCGCCCCTCCCCTCCCCCCACAGGTGTGCCCCGCCCCTCCCCCTCCCCCCCACAGGTGTGCCCCGCCCCTCCCCTTCCCTCCCACAGGTGTGCCCCGCCCCTCCCCCTCCCCCCACAGGTGTGCCCCGCCCCTCCCCTTCCCTCCCACAGGTGTGCCCCGCCCCTCCCCCTCCCTCGCACAGGTGTGCCCCTCCCCCTCCCTCCCTGCCCCTCCCCCTCCCTCGCACAGGTGTGCCCCTCCCCTCCCCCTCCCTCCCTGCCCCTCCCCCTCCCTCACACAGGTGTGCCCCGCCCCTCACCCCTCCCTCCCTGCCCCTCACCCCTCCCTCGCACAGG